GCGCTTTCCAAAGCCACCACAGCATGTAGGTGGTCAGTTGGATCCTAGACTCAGCTACATCAAACTTATTAAGAGAGCACATATTAGACCACTAACATTTGAAGGAAGAAGTGTAGGATTTCAAGCCATCCCACCGCACAGGAGCAATGTCCCATACTTTGCATGCTTTAGGACAGGTAAACATAAGATGTTCCACAGACCCAGCTGCTTTACCACAAGAATGACAAATTGTATCAATGACCAAACCCCTCTTCACCAAGTTGAGCTTCACAGACAAGGTATACCAGTAAGACATGTCCATAGAAAATGTTTTATCTTACCAATCACTTTTAGTTTCCAACACCTGTTGAAAGTGTGATGCATATTTGAAGAAGAGGAAGAAAGGGAACTGCTACCAGATATATCAAGGCCAAGAAGCTTTTGTTTGGTCAGATAATCATAAGTACTAGCCACAGAATAAATCCCTTTTTTGTCAAAAGCCCAAAAACATCTATCTGCCATGCCAGGCTTTAAAGAGCAAATATCAAGAATAGCTTTGCTATCAGCTGCACTGAATAATTGAGAAATCAACCATTCATCCATTCCTTACCATATGGATTAATCAGCTCTTTGAGATGTGGCCTCTAGCAATATCAAGGAGATTAGGCTTAGAACAGTTGAGAGAGGGAACCCAATTGATATTATCAATTCTGGTTGATGCCCCATCTCTGATTTCCACTTTGTAACCCTTAGCAACAGTGGGGATAACAGTGAGCCAATTGAACCAAATCCATGAGCAGTTACTGGGTTTGACAACATCAAATATTGAACATCATGGGAAATATCTGTCCTTTAATATTCTACTAACAAGAAGAGATGGCTGAGAGATGATTCTCTATATTTGCTTACATAGCAGAGCTCGGTTGAAGATTTTAAGATCTAAGAAACCAAGTCCTCTTTCACACTTAGGAAAAGTGAGAGCAGACCATGATCTCCAATGAATACCAGATCCTTGTCCATCACCCTTACTCCACCAAAAGTTAGAGCACCATTTTGATAATTCAGAGTTTAAAGCTGAGGGCAAAATAAAGCAGGACATGGAAAAAATTCGTAGAGCTTGAAGAACAGCCTTAATTAGCACCTCTTTTCCAGTAGGGGATAAGAGTTGAGCTTTCCAATTCTGAAGTCTAGATTGCACAGAGTCCAGCACATATTGAAAGGCTTCTCTCTTCGATCTGCCAATGCCCAATGACAATCCTAGATACCTTGTTGATATGTGAGTTGTAATGCCCTGCAATGTGGAACAGATGCTATATTGCAGAATGGAAGGGGTGTTCTTGCTGAAAAAAACAGCTGATTTTTGGAGGTTGACTTTTTGACCTGTGAACAATCTATATTTTTCCAGAATATTCAAGAGAACATTAGCTTGCCAACCTCAGCCTTGCAAGAAAATAACGAATCATCCACAAATAAAAGGTGGAAAATAGGAGGGCAATTTTTAGAGAGCTTCATACCCAATAGCTGTCCAGAATCGATAGCAGCAGAAACCAAAGCAGATAACAACTCTGCCACAATGAGAAATAGATAAGAGTGTTGACATCATTTTCAGTAAACCGAATTAAGTGACGTTGATCAGATAGTTATGTTCAGCAGAAGGATGGTTGAAATTGTACAAGAAGATAATGTCTTTATGGATCTCAAGGTTCTGACACCGATCTCAAGACAATTACTTGTCAAGTAAAAATTCATCAAGAACCGACATCGTCGTTGATTGACCGATACCTCATGTCGGTTATGACATGTCGGTTACTACATGTCGGATATTACATATCGGTTATAACTACACGAGCCGATATCTATGACTTTCTAAACCGACACCACGAGGCGGTTCCAACTCAGCACAACTCATCATTACACCTGGCCAAGTGGCATGTTACTAGCATGAATGGCAATTAGCCGCCGTTGACTATTCTCGTGTAATGATTACATATTAGATAAATATTGTAAATAAATATAAAAGGAGAAAAAAGTTCTCCAACAAAAAGAAAAAGAGACGCATACAATAATATCCAAAAAATTCTATCTCATTTCACGGTTCATATAGTCTTTGCTGTTTTATTTTGAAATTACAATAAATCCCTGTCGATTATATAGTTGTTAACTTCCATTTAACAACAGTTTGGCGCTAGAAGGAGGGGCATCATCACGTTTTGAGGTTAACTTTCGCTGTTAAAGCCATTTTCGCGCTTGAAGTCACCATGTCACAGTCTGGTCGAGACCATACAATTCACCCTGGCCAGAGCCAATCGACTAATCATTCTCCGCGGCGTTCAACCCCGCCCCCTCCGGTCATGAACATCACGAACTTTCTTCAAAACCCGGAGTTTATTCAAGGTTTAACCTCTTTGATAGCTCGAACCATGCCAAGAAACTCGAATACGGTACCATCATTAATGCCGTTCACTACCAATCCAACAGAACACCCAAATCATACTCGTCATGACCCCGAAACGCATGCGGCGACATCCCATGCTACGTCACAACCTCACCATACTTCTCCACGTCGAGAAGAGTTAACTCGTATAACTGCTAACCCAATAACGAACAATCAAGCCCCGGAGGAGCCCCATGTACAAGAAATGACTGCTGAAAGTCACTCTGCTCATCATCAGCGAATTCCGTCACGTCCTAGACTTACTTCACCAGTGCCTCATGGTCGTGAAGATTTGCGGCGCCAGATTGAACGGAATCGTATTTCAAGACATAGTGCGGAAGAAATTGAAACTCTTCGTAAACGCTTGGCTGAACTCGAGACCCGACAGAAGTCGCAGGAAGACTCTCCCCGACATGTCTCGACATCGGGAAATGTCATTATTGAAGCTGATTCACCTTTAGCTCCGGAACTTACCGCGGAGGCACTCCCAACTAAGGTAAAAATCCCGCAAATTGGCATGTATGATGGAACATCGAATCCGGATGCACACTTGGGCCATTATACGTCTTGGATGGATTTTCATGGTGCCTCAGACGCTTTGAGATGTCGGATGTTTTCGCTTACACTGGGGCCGCGAGCACAAAAATGGTACTATACTCTCCCACCTCATTCAATTTGGAAATGGCAACAGTTACGTGCGGCCTTCCG